TTCCTGTGCCCATCCCCCTCGCCCACTCCCCCTGTGTTGAGGATGAAATATATAAGGTAATGTAGGTAAAGCACATTGAGACATCACTAATAACTTTGTATTTGTTTCCTTCCCTCTTCCTCCTCCTCCTCCAGTTTCGCCCCGTTTGTTAAATGCCTCTCCCCTCTTCCCCAACCTTACATCCCCTCAGCCAGCAAGCACCCCAGTGCAGGCCATTATGACCCCATCCTTGAACTGGTGTAAGAGACTACAGATTCTCTTTCTCCCCCATTTGATATTCCCAAAGCCTTGCTTGGGCCCTGTTCTTTCCCTTCTCTCTGTTGCTTAACAAAACTCATCTCAGGCTATCCTCCTTCCTCTGCCTTCTCGAACTGGTGGGCGTCTCCCTTCCAAGCCCCCCTACCTACCTTCACCCCCATTGTGGTCAGAGGGGCTTGTCTGCTTCTGAGCACAGACCTCATTTCCTGCCATGGTGCTTTGATTGCAGAAAGAAGTCTGTCAGGCAGGGCTTGTGCCCATCCTTGTTTCTGGAGAACACTCCCCTCCTTCCAGGCCTGCCTCTATCTTGCCCTCCCTCAGCCCTTCCTGTCCTACAGGCCTGGGTGTACAGTGTCTTTAGGACATATGTCACACACAGCCTTGCACTGCGGCTATATGTGTACTAACCGATCTCTCTATTTTAAACTACTTTTGGATGGGGAGTCTCTTGCACAGCTTGTGTCCTCACATTGCCTTTTACATAGATCTTTAATAAACACTTGTTGACTAAGATTTGATTTTATCGTTTCCATTGGAGTTGGGAAAACTGGTATGTTTTCTTACACTCATGAAGGTGAAGGACACTCCAGTTTGGAAAATAATCATATTAACGTATGCACTAGGCTGTGTGTAAAACAATAAGATATTATTGAAGTGTTATGCTGAGTGACAGGTACTTTTTCTTCATCTTCTTATGCTGCTCTCCCAGATATTACTCGCTTTGCTTTCTAACATTCACAGGCTTTATTTTCTCTTCATTTGAAGAGTCCGGAAGGCTTTTCTAGCATCTTACATGATATTTCTTTAAGATTATGCCCCTGAGTCACTTCCTGGTGCTGCTGCGTTATTGCATGTTACTGAATTTACACCTTGGCAAGGAAGACACCAAGACATTGTACACCTTGGAGACACTGCTTCTGTCTGATGCCAGCTCTGCACTGACCAGGGCTCACATGTATTGAAGCAGCCACGCTGAATTGCTCTCCTCTCGTCCATTGCCTCATCTCAAGGGAGTGTCTTTTAGGCATTGAGTAAAGCTCTTCTACATAAATAATAATAAAAGTTTTGCTGCTTTGGCCATGTAATAATTATAAAATGCCACATGGAACACTAAATATCACATCACCCTATGACAGACGCACTGATATATTGTCAGAAGCCCTTGTCTTGAACTGAAGCTTGACAGTCTTTACTTAGTGATTTTTCTAAACTGTAAGACGTCTTTTTTCTTTGACAGCCCTTCTTATATTTTTAAAATCCATCTCTTGAATGTCTTTTTTTACCCATTCAAACAGTAAATTGGTTCATATAATCTAAACTCGCTAATAGAATGCCCTTCAACTCTGGCCATTTCAAACGTTCTGTCTCAGAATTGTCTTCACATGGTGATTATGAAGCAAAACGCATATAATTTAGTTTCAGATGAAACAGTTAAAAAAAAAACAAGAGAACTTTTAAGGTCTAATGTGCAAAATTAGATTCTCACTTCTGGATATGTATTTTCTTTTTTCTGTTCTAAAATGCTGTGACAGAGAACAAATTCTACGTAGGAGACTTTGGGCATATGACAACAGAATTGAGTATCTGAGTTTACAGGGTAAATGGTATGTCAGGACCAGAGTGTAACATTTGCTGTCCTTTGGACGAGGCTGGGAACCTGGTGTCTTACTGGGCTTGGGCATGCATGGCAAGCCTTTTGAAGGACTGCTGTTTTCCTTTTTGTCTTTTTTCGTGACCGGTAACGGGATCGCAACCCTCAGTGTTGCGCCCGCACCGGGGCCGGCAACGGGATCGCAACCCTCGTTGTCGCGCCCGCACCACGCTCAACCAGTGAGCGGACCGGTCTCTATATGGGATCCGAACCCTCAGCAGGAGCGCCGCCACACTCCCAAGCGCCACACTCTACCGAGTGCACCACCGGGCCGGCCCCAAGGACTGCTGTTTTAATCATCTTTCAGAGTCCCCTTGACAACAGACATCTGTGGAGAACTCACTGGGAATTTGGCACTGTTAGAAATTACAAAAAAAAAATCTGGATGGTTAGCCTATTTCTCTCTTCACCAGTCTTTTTCTCCTGCCAAGATTAGAGAGCATTACCTTTTAAAAGAGCATCATTTTCCACTGTAATCTCCATCCACAAAGCCAGGGAACAGGAAGTAGCAGCAGTGCTTGGGGTGTGAGTGGGAGAAGAACTCTTGAAGACTTTACTGGCTGACTCTGACAGTACTGAATGAAACTTTAAACTCAGTACCTGATGCAGTGCCTGGCCCGTAGGTGGTACTCCATAAATGTTTGTTGAATGAGTATTTGTGAGTGAAGTGCACCCACAGAGTGGTTTTAGAGCACCTTCAATTGATATAATGCTCCTTCACGACTCCTTTATAAAATACTGGTGAGGAGGGCTTTTGTATGTGGATCAATTCTCAGATTTTAATTTTGACTTACTTTGTATTTGTGGCTTTTCCACGTTATAATCTTCAGTTCTGCCTTTCAACCACACACAGGTCTTCTTTGATATAAGGATTGGAGACAAAGATGTTGGCAGAATTGTGATTGGCCTCTTTGGAAAAGTTGTGCCCAAGACTGTGGAAAATTTTGTTGCTCTAGCAACAGGAGAGGTATGTCTCAGCTTTATTTCCTTTAACTGTTTACAAAATTGGATTTTCTTTCTTTTAACCCAATATAAAGATGTCTTCTGGGAAAATAAGTATTAAATTAGTATGTCAGATGAACTTGTGAAATCTTTTCATATTTCACTATAAAACCTGTATTATTATTCAGTGCCTTTAGGCTTCTAGAAATTGGGGGAAAACAATCATTGGGTGAAACTGCAGATTGTGCTGTTTTTACTTACATTAGTGCTTTATTTTTATGGTCAGCTAATGATAAATTTCTCTTAGGAAATCATTGCTGGGACCTACTCAAGTTCTGTAGATACTTTGTTTAATTTTCTCATTTTGTCACTTCCAGATAAACACTGGGGTTTATCTTTCAATATGGGTTATATCTACTTGTGTATTCAATTGAAATAATCTCTCTAGAAAGGATATGGATATAAAGGAAGCAATTTTCATCGCGTCATCAAGGACTTCATGATTCAAGGAGGGGACTTCACCGCTGGAGACGGCACTGGCGGTAATACTGTCTTTCGCTTTCCCCTTGCCCACTTACCAAACTGAAACCTAAGATTAGGCCACTATTTCCATCCAGTGTATAGAAATCCCAGATTTAAGGAACTAAGTCATAAAGACAACTCTAACAAATTCTTTAAGAAGGATAGAGTTTTGGGGACCTCATCTACCAAAATCTTGGTAGATACAAATGAGCGAGGCTTCCTAATTTTAGGCAGTATTGTTTTGATGTTCATTGTCTCTCCATAGTGGAGATATATTTATTTGGCAGAATATTTTGCAGTTATTAAGATGCTAGACTACTAGTATGCAGTGATACAGAAAAATGTCTGCCATAGGAAGGTAAAGGTAGAATACAAAGCTGTGTGTCCACTGGGATGGCAGTAGCCACAGATGTGGAAGTTCCTGGAGGAGGACGGATGAGGATGTCATGCCAGAGGACAAGACTGGCATTTAGGTGAAGGATCACGGTGCTATTTCTCCTCTTCTTTTAAAAGTCTTTCATTTCATTGTCAGTTTTTTAAATTATTAAAAAAAATTAAATAGCTGTGTTTTCAAAATTGTAATATAAACTCATTCTTATAAACAGAGTTAAAGTACAAATAATTAAATTTATAGAGTTTCAAATCTCCATCAACCTGTTTCTCATTGAGGATTACAGCTACCCAGCTCCATCGACTGTTTTCCCTCAAATGTAGTGAGTTCTTTTCCTGAAAACACAGTATATATGTAAGCACACAGAAGTTAAGTTTACTTCAGGTATAAGATTTTTAATTTAGCAAATATTGGTTTTGGTGGATATTAAGTTACTAACTTTTTAGTGAATCTATTAGGTCATTTTCAGGCACTATTTCTAATTTTACATTTATTCCAATGGTTTATTAATTATTTATACCCAAAATGGCTACCATTAAATGCTTTTATTACCAGGCACTTAGTGAAGATTACTTTTAGTTCTTGCAAAAATGCTACAAGATATGGGGCTATAAAACTAAGCAGAGAAACACGGTCAGGTTACTCCAGGTAATGGGGTTTGCAGTGAGCACTGGGGAAGCAATCCAGCTACTGCAGAGTCAGACCTGACTGGAAAACCCTTCAGCTCTGCTACCTGTCCCCTCAATATTGGCATCCACCTTCCCACCATAGGGCCCAGCAGAAATGGTGGATGAGTTTTACTTTGCCCTCTTTTCTGCTATTTATTTTTCTCTCTCTACCTTCCCTGCCCAGTGTGTGTGCATGTCTTGAGTTAAAATTCTCCGAGTTTTGAACCATTTAAATTTAGCATAGACCCCTCTGTGGGAAGAGTTCTCCTAACAGGCCACTTCATATGTCCCTGACCAACCAGCCATAAATTGCTTGCCTTTGATATCCTCGTCTAGTCCTCCTAATTGAGCCAGGATTTTGAGGTTAGCAACCAATAAGGCACCCTGCAGAAGGAGACATGAGCACAGCAGGCTCTCTCCGTGTTGGACTGTTGTTGGGGCATGTACTGTTGTTTGATGGGAAAATGTATTCTGCTCTACCTGCTGCTTTGCTAGAACTCCAGACCTCATGCCTCCCCTTGGTTCCTCTGTTCAGGGTTTGATCACTGGGTGTTCCCAGTTGCCATCACCCTCTGTTGTCCTGGTGGGCCCTGAAGTCATTGTGCCTAATGACTTCCAGACTAGCTGCTATTACTCTTGGTGCTGAGGCAAGAAAAAGCAACGGCTCTAATTTAGAGTCAGAAAGTCAAATGTTCAAATTCTGCCCCACTATTAAGTTTTGTAACCTTTGTTTGCCATTGCATAATGGGGATGAGAATATGTATTCTACAGAGTAATTATGGGAATTAGCTAAGGGTGTATATTAAGTGCTGGGTGCCACCCAGGTAGGAGTGACCCAGGACAAGTAATCTGAGCCTCAGGACAGAGATAGAAACTCTATGATGGCTCACTCCCTATCAGGCTTCGGGATGTCATCCTGCTCTTCAGTTCCTTCTCATTTCAGAGTGAAATCATTGACCTGCTCAATCAAGTTCTGGACCTTGGTTTGAGGCCAGAGGGTATCCTGGCATCCTGTGCCATATTTAAGGCTTTTTTGTTTGTTTCAGGCTCTGGTGCTCTGCTTCCTTCAGGGGTTAATTTTATCCCCTCCTTCACTTCTTATATTTGACCATCTTTCCCCCCATCCCCATCTCCTATAGGAATCTATTAACTGATTTCACTAAAGCCTTAGGTTTCCATCTGAAGGGTTTACTCTTGCATGATGTCTGTTGACTCTCCTCCTTGTTTGGTCTCACCCAGGTGTGAGCATTTATGGCGCAACATTTCCAGATGAGAACTTCAAGCTGAAGCACTATGGCATAGGGTGGGTCAGCATGGCCAACGCTGGGCCTGACACCAATGGCTCTCAGTTCTTTATCACCTTGACCAAGCCCACTTGGTTGGATGGCAAACATGTGGTATTTGGAAAAGTCATTGATGGGATGGTAAATTGATATATTATTTTTTCTCTTTCAAATCTTTATATTTATAATGACGGGACCTACAGTGATTTATTTTAATCTTAAAATGTGCTTGTTAGAGATCCATTATTATACGCTGACTGGCCTCTTCAGAAGTGAATAAATTATATATGGTATGGCATTTTAATTGTTAGGGGCATTGGAGCAGCAACTAGGGACTTGACATGGAGAAGTTAAGTACTTAAGCTAATATATTTCACTACTTCATGTAAATAGAAAGCCTTTTTTAATGCAACCAAATAAAACCAAATTCCTATATATACACACAATGGAATATAATTCAGTCTTAAAAAGGAAGGAAATTCTGACACATACTATAACACTGGCAAACCTTGAGGACATTATGCTAAGTGAAATAAGCCAGTCATAAAAAGACAAATACTGTATGATTCCACTTATATGGGGTATTAAAGTGGACACATTCATAAAACAGAAAGTAGAATGGTAGTTGCCAGGGGCTGGGGGGAGGGGTAAATGAGAAATCGTATTTAATGGGTATAGAGTTTGTTTTGCAAGATGAAAAGTTCTGGAGGTTGGTTGCACAATAATGTGAATATACTTAACACTACTGAACTATGCACTTAAAAATGGATAAGTTGGCAAAATTTTTGTTATGTGTTTCTTACCACAATTAAAAATATTTTTAAAAAGAACCCAGTGTGATTCAGTGCAGACACTAAGTCACATTCAAAGACACACAGTATAGCAGCCAAAAATTATTGAAGAGAATTCAAATCTATGCTGTTAGGTCTCAAAGAATGTCAAAAGAGTCCAGTTCATAGCCCAGAGGAACACTTCTTAAAATCCTCATTCTCTTTTATTCTCAACATTTCTCCTTAGCAACTGCTGGAAGTAGCTCTTTTGACTCCTAAACTGGCGACTGTAAAGTCTGCCCAACCCAGCCCTGGACCATTCTTGACTCCCTTGCCCTCTTCCATATTTCATTTTGTTTTGTTTTCATATGAGTTTCATGTTTTGCTTCCCTATCAAAACATAAATAAACTAATCTTACTCACTGCAATTCTTCCACAACTTCTGCCTGAACTTCTGATTCTACTCAACAAAAGTCAGGAACTGAGTTGGTGGACCCAACCCTGTTTGGGAAACCCATCAAAAGTTTACAGTACTGGTTGTTGGCCAGTCCTAACCTCTTTCAGCATGAAACATAGGTGGTGCATGGGCCTGGGGTAGAGAAAGAGACCACTCTGGGTTTGGGTTTACATTAGTATCAGACTACAACTGTAGGTTAATGGCTTGGGTCACCTTTAAAATGGACAAACCCAGAAGTAGGTCCACTACTTCTAAATCTGCTTTCTGGCCTATGTTATTACACCTAGGTCTATTTATAGGATGGAGCTGAAACTGACTCAAACTCCCCATGTTAACTCTTACACTGGGTTGTAGCAGGTTGTAGCAGGTGAATAGAAATACCTTTCATTAGAGCTAGGTGTTTACAAAATTATTTTTTTTTTTAGAATATAAAATGCTTATTAAAAAATAAGTGAGGAAATATGCCCAGTATGCTCTCTGAATAACAAGATAGTGGGTGGATTTTATTCTGTGATATGTACATTTTCTGAATATTCTAAGTTTTCTGCAGTTAGCTTGTATAGTTTTTGTAATCATAAATCAACTATTTCTCACTTGGGCTTTGGAGTGGTGTTGATTACACCTTTGGATTGTCATAGCTGCTGGTCAGAACTGAACCATGAGTCTCCTTTTCTCTCACCAGACAGTGGTGCACTCCATAGAGTTGCAACCTACCGATGGGCACGACCGCCCACTCACCAACTGCTCAATCGTCAACAGTGGCAAGATAGATGTGAAAACACCCTTTGTGGTTGAGGTCGCTGACTGGTGACAACTGACAGAAGACAACACTCTCTGGCGGGGGGGGTGTGTGTCCTCTGATTCTTCAAAGTTATTGTTTTGCTTTGCTTTTTTACTTTAATTTTCTATCCAGATCACAGAAAAGTAATAATCATTTGCATGAATTTTGGTAAATCACCTGCTTAGGGACTTTGAACTTAAAAGACATCCTTCCTACAATGGTGCTATTTTTAAACTAGAAAACTATGTATTGGCTATTTTTTTTTTTTAAAGAATAGTCTTTTTTTTTTTGCTGAATTTATTATGGTTCCCATGTTGGGCAATGCTGAAGATTTGTCTGAAAAAGATGAGGAAGTGAAGTTTATTATTTTGAATTCAAACAGAAATCAGGTAAAGGGAAATTTGATTAGTATAATCAGATATATGTAATAGGGAATTTTTACTTGATAAAAAGGTGCTTTGTTGTTCTCTATATTAAATACTTTTTATATGGCTCTTTTTGCAAGACTCTTTTTAAAATTTAAATTTCTTTAAAAAATAGATATACAGATAATCCAATGAAAAAATGGACAAAGGAGCTGAATAGACATTTTTCAAAGGAAGACATACAAATGGACAACATGTGCATGAAAAAATGCTCAACATCACTAATCAGGGAAATGCAAATAAAAACCACATTGAGATATCATCTCACCCCAGCTAGACTGGCTATTATTAAAAAGACTGAGAATAACAAATGCTGGTGAGGATGTGGAGAAAAGGAAACTCTTCTACACTGTTGGTGGGACTGTAAATTAGTGCAGCTATTATGGAAAACAGTATGGAGGTTCCTCAAACAACTACAGATAGAACTACCAAATGATCCAGCAATCCCATTTCTGAGTATATATCCAAAGTAATGGAAATCATCATGTCAAAGGGATACCTAAACTCCCATGTTTATCACAGCTCTGTTTACAATAGCCAGGATATGGACCAACCTAAATGTCCGTTGATGGAAGACTGGATAAGGAGAATGTGGTATATATACACAATGGAATACTACTCAGTCATAAAAAAGAATGAAATACTCCCATTTGCAGCAACATGGATGAGCTTGGAGAAAATTATGTTAAGTGAAATAAGCCAGGTACAGGAAGAGAAATACCACATGTCCTCACTCAGAAATAGGAGCTAAGAAATAGAAAGAAAGAAAGACCATAATAAAATGTTGAACTTTCAGAAGGAGAGAATAGACCTATAGTTACTAGAGGTGGGAAAGGGGGAGAAAGGATAGGGATTAATTGGGTAAGGGACATAAAAAATAGTTATGATTTGTAATAATGAACGTACTAATAATATTGGATCATCACATACTGTACACAAATACTGACAGTCAACTCTACCCCATAAATATGTATAAATATAAAAATTTTTTAAAACCCCAAAATACACACATTCTAATGTTAACAATGAACAGATTAGAGAGCTAGAAATCAAAATACTAGTACAATTGAATAATTTGGGATGGGAATGCATAGAAATTATGCTTATCCACATCCGAAATACTTAAGCTGATTATTCACTAATTTGTACTCAATGTAATATTTTTAGAAAGTTCCCTTGAGCCAGTTGCAATAGAAATGAATCTTGTCACTTACATAATGGGGCTTAAGATTCAGGCTGTATTTAAACTAGATAGGAAAGTAAAATCCTACTGGGGCCTTTCTGTACCACACCTGGCTATAATGGAGTGTGCCTGCAGAAGGAAGAGAAAATACAAGGATCCTGAGGTAGGAATACGTGGATTCTAGGGCAGAACAGAAAGCCACTGTACTGGAACCTGGTGTGGGAAGGGGAGCATGATGGGGCAAGGTGGGAGCAGCGTGGCAAGGCTGGAGCATTTCTGGCCTGGCTGCCCGGGGAGTTTTTTTATTCACAGCACTATGGGGAACTATCAGTCTCAAGCTAGGGAAAGGCATGGTGTGATCTGCACTTAAGAAAGATGATTTTGTCTGATCTGAGAATTTCTACAGGGGGGTTAAAGTGGAAGCAGTGCACATCAGGAAACTCAAACATTCATATCTTTTGATTTCCCACTCCTGGGGATTTGCTTTAGAAGGTGATTTGGAATTGTAATGGACATCATTGTTTCAGTCAGCCCTTGTCCTGGCAATAGCTGCCCAATTTCTTATTTTTTCTTTCGGGAGTCACACCATTCCCTCAACCATTTCTTGTCCTTAGTGTGGGCTGCCCCTGCAAATCGGTACATACCTGGCCAAGCAAACTCATCCATTAACTCGCTTGATAAATGTGTACTGGGTGTGGGATAGAGCTGCAGACAGTGTCAGCCCTCATGGTTCTCATAGAGGAGACTAATCATACCACAGGAATATATAAGAGAACATCAGGTAGTAACAAGTCTATGAAGAAAAATAGAGTGCAGGGAGAGAGGCTAGAGAGTGGAGCGGTGGTCAGGGGAGGTCTCTGAGTGGGAGTGGGAGCTGCAGGGAGTAAGGGAGCAGTATGCCATGAGGACACTGGGGAAGAGTGTGGAGGCAGAGGGGACAGAGCAGTGGCCCTCTGTGAAGGGCAGGCTGGGTGGGTTCCAGAAATAGCAAAGAGGCCAGATGTGCAGAGTAGGGTGAAAGGTGCAGGGGTGGGAGTGGAGTGGGAGAGGGAGCAGGAATGTCCTGTAGGCCAACCAGAACATTCCCTCGCCCTGGCCCCAGTGACTGGCTCAGGCATAGGTGGTTGATTCAGTCGTGTTAATGAGCCTCAATCCCTGGACTTCTACTGGAATTATTGGGAAAGTGCAGCTGTCTTTCTGGAAGAGGATGTAAAGGAGTAGGCCTAAGACTGTTTCCCAGCATATAAGGAAGCTACTCCAGAAGATAGAAAGATGGATTCCTGAAGACATCATTTAGCCCCTATCTATGTCCAGCCGTGCATAAAGATAGTCCGCCCCTAGCTTTTTGCTATGCAAGCGGGTACATTTTTTGCTTAAGCCGGGGCAAATTGATTTTCTTTGACTTGCAATCTGACGTCTTTGTCTAATACAGCAATACTGAAAAAGTTTTATCTATAAAAGATGTGAATTGCAGAATTATTTATGATAGCAAAATACTGGAAGCAACTTGACTATCCCCAAATGCTTATATGTCATACATACCATAATAAAATACTATGCATTCATTAAGACTGATGAAACAGAGTGATGACATCAAGATGTCAGACAGAATAGGCAATTCCCAGCATCACTCTTCCCTGCAAGTAACCAGTTTACAATTATTAAAAAGCAGACTGCCAACCTTTGACCACTGGAGCCAGGGGAAGAGGAAAAGAGACGTGGAGTCCATGAAGCTGCAAGAGGTCACAGCAAGAGAGTGTAGGGATGGCACTTACTGTTCTGAGCACTGGCTGCTTCTGAGACACCCTGGTAGGGGATGGGGACTTGGATTGAAGCTGGAAAAAGCTGCAGCAGAACTCTTTGCATGAACCTGCTTGGAGTCTGCAAGGGAAGAGAAGGGCTTCATAGTGCACTATACCAGCCCACAGGCCATAAAAACCAGTGACAGGACTCTATTGGGCCCACACAGGAGCAAATGACTATAGCTGATTGGAGAAAGGAGATGTCCAGAGGCTGGTGAGTTACCACAAGGGACACTTACATGGGTTGCCCAACAGGAAGCTGTGGGAGTGCAGGCAAAAGGCTGGCCCGTGGGGGGACATAGAGTGCAACGAGTGTAGCAGGTCTCAGTGGAAAACAGGGTGATGGGACTGCAGGGGAGCAATCTGCAGGAAAGACTCAATCCTAGACCAGAGTTTCATACAGCCCAGACCCAGAAGTGATTAACAATATGGTCACAAAGCCTCCCCAGAGAATCAGCAGCAAAGCAGCAATTTAGATAAAGCACAAAGCTCAAGGTCTGTCCCCACAGGAAGTTCCTCCAACTTGGGAACTAACTACAGAATAGCACATCAGTTCCCATGCAGAGTCTTAAGTGGTGGTGGCAGGTATTAAGCCACCACAGAAAGGGGAAAACAAGACAAAAACAAACAAACAAACAAACAAAAACCCAGACCAGAAACAAAGCTCTGATAATCACCTATAGAACCTAGAAGAGGTAGTAGTCCCCTCAAATGCCCAGAAATCAAATGTAAAGACACAAAGATCAAGAAAAAACAGAGAAATATGTTGCCACCAAAGTAAACAAAGCATGAGCAATGGACACAGAGGAACAACAGATCTACAAAATGTCTGACAGAGAATTCAGAATAACCTTACTCTTAAGAATGTTCAGAGAGTGATAAGAAAATACAGATAGAAAAGTAAATGATATCTAGAAAAAAATTCAGGAGCATAATCAGATACTTGACAAAGGAATAGAATCAGTTAAAAAATAAAACAAAAAGAAATTCTAGAAATAAGGAATACATTATCTAAATTGAAAAACTCAATAGAAAGCTCCAACAGTAGTCTTAATCAAACAGAGGGAAAAAATCAGTGAGCTGGAAGGCAAAACACGTAAAATTTTCCAATATCAGAGGAGCAAAAAGAAAAAATAAGAAGAAATGAAACAAATACAGCAAGTATGGGACACCCTCTCGTGAAGCAAACTTCACATAATTTGCACACCCTGAGGAGAAGAAAAAGGAAGAGACCTAGAAAGTGTATTCAAAGAAATAGTGAGTGAATGTTTCCCAAGTATGGAGAAAGGTGGCAGCATCCAGACACAGGAAGCTCAGAGGACACCAGTCAAATTCAATCCAAAGAGATACACACCCCAAGACATCTCATAATCAAACTATTAAAAACCAAAAAAAAAAAAAAAAAAAAAAAAAAAACCCAGACCAGAAACAAAGCTCTGATAATCACCTATAGAACCTAGAAGAGGTAGCAGTCCCCTCAAATGCCCAGAAATCAAATGTAAAGACACAAAGATCAAGAAAAAACAGAGAAATATGTTGCCACCAAAGTAAACAAAGCATGAGCAATGGACACAGAGGAACAACAGATCTACAAAATGTCTGACAGAGAATTCAGAATAACCTTACTCTTAACAGAGAATCCAGAATAACCTTCTTAAGAATGTTCAGAGAGTGATAAGAAAATACAGATAGAAAAGTAAATGATATCTAGAAAAAAAATTCAGGAGCATAATCAGATACTTGACAAAGGAATAGAATCAGTTAAAAAATAAAACAAAAAGAAATTCTAGAAATAAGGAATACATTATCTAAATTGAAAAACTCAATAGAAAGCTCCAACAGTAGTCTTAATCAAACAGAGGGAAAAAATCAGT